GCGGGAGCCCAGCTGGAAGGGCAGCGCCACGAGCTTGCCGTCCACCTGCGGGCGTGTAGAGTGGGTGGAGGCAGTGACCGGCCAGGACTCAGATTGGAATCCTGTCTCCTATCTCCTGGGTGTGTGGGTGGGAGGGGGCAGGAAGGGGCGTGGGCACCCTGAGCACGTGACCTCCCCCCTTTTAATAATAGCAATAATAGTAATAATCTTTAGTCACGATGTCACTGGCTCCTCATACCACCCTCTGAAGCAGATACTTTTCTTAGAGGAATAAGCAATAGCTCAGAGGTGGGGAAGCCACCGCTCCAAGCCATCTGGCTCCAAGGCCTATACTCTGAACCTGTGCTTGGTAATCAGGGATTGGCAGGCCACTAACTCCCAGGCAACTCCAGGGTTGGCATGTGCTCCTGTCTGATCCACAGACCCCTTACCTGCAGCTGTCGGGGCCAGCGGGCGCTGAGGGTCAGGTTGTGGTTGTAGATGTGCAGGGTGACGCTGCGGGTGTAGCTGACGGCCTGGCTGCCCCGGTGCTCGTTGGCAACAGTGACAGTGAAGTTCTCAACACCAGCGGGTGGTGCATGGCAGGGTGCACTCAACAGGTACTCACAGGTACCTTGGAAGTCGAATCGGTGCCCGTCCAGAGTGATGTAATGGGGGTCGCCCCAGGCCTGACATTCAGCCGTACTAACAGGACGGCAGCCATACTGGCCTGAGGGCAGCAGGGCACACACTTCACCGAGCCCACACCTGGCAGGCTTGCAGACCAGCGAGCCACCCCCAGGTCCGCAGTGGCACCTCTGGGAGCAGGTGGTACCAGCCCAAAACTCACTGCCTGCCTCGTGGTAGGTGTTGTTGGCCCAGCAGCCGCAGCCCCCATCCAGAGGAACACAGCGGTCTACGCTCAACACAAAGCCCGCGTCACACTGGCAGCCCTCAGCGCAGGGGCCCTCACATGGGGCTGGGATCGTCGGGGGCGCAGGGGACGGGCAGCTGGCAGGGCATGGTGGGCCACAGAGCTCGTAGTGACTGTTGTTGGGGCAGGTGATCTCTGCAGGTGGATTAAGGAGGGGGAGGAGGAGAAAGAGAGAGAATGGTGTTAGAGGGTGGGATCAAAGGATAGGGTGGGAGGAGACTGAGATAGAGACCCCTAGGGATGGACAGAGAGATAGAGAAACAGAGCCAGAGATGCACACACAGAGAGAGAACAGACACCCAGAGACAGGAGAGAGAGAATGAGCAATAGAGGCAGAGACAATATAGGAAGGTGCAGGAAAAGCACCAAGAGACAAAAACAGAGAACGAAATAAAAAGGCCCAGAAGGACTGGAGTGAAACCAAACCAGCCCTGCAGAGACAGGACCCGCACCCCCAAGTCCTGCCCTGTTCACCCCAGCACTCACCACAGCCGGCCTGTGTCCTCCAGTCCTCGATGACAATGCCAGCAGCCTGGCAGGCAGCAGCATAGGTAGCCAGAGCCTGGCAAAGTATGTCATGGGCCCCACCGCCCAGGCAGACATCCAGAACACAGCCCTTGAAGAAGCTCTCAGGTGCCACATGGGCATGGCAGGCTGCAAAGGGGCCTTTTGCGTCAGCGGCCAGGGGTCCACAGAAACCAGGGCCCCGGTACTCCTCCAGCTGGTCCTCAGGGCATGTTGGGCAGGACCCCTGACACTCATCCCAGCACAGTGGGTCCCAGCCTGGGGCTCGCCAGCTTCCACCCCAGACGGGTATGGAAAGAGCCAGTGTGCGGTTAGGGAAGGCTTGGTCATTGTTGGGGTTGCGGTCCATGTTCCCACAGAGCCCACACACGGCACCATGATAGCTACTGGGCAGCGTCACCTCCACTCGCCAGTTCCAGTCATAGCTGACCCGCAGCCCAAAGTCGGTTGCCAGGATTGCTTTTGATGCTCCCTGAGTCACGGAAAGCCGCCCACCAGCCACAGAGGTAGGCAACGCTGTCAGCACACCATTCACCTGGGGGGAAGGGGGATTGGGAGGTAAGGAGAGGTCACTCAAGGTGTGGAGGCCCAGCCTGGCCCCTGCCTCCCTCGCCTGGCCTGCATGGCTGGAAGCTGCCAAGGCCTTCCTCACAACGGGTGGTCGCATGGTCATGTGACGAACATGGACATCTGCTGTAGTTCAGGTCCTGGGGAATGAAGCCTACCTCCGCATCTTTTTCTAGATCTCTCTTGATTGCCATCTCCCTCCCTTCCTCTCTCTGTTGTCTCTCTACATCTAGATCTATCTCTCTTTCTGGGCTTCTCTGAGTGTGTGTGTGTGCGCACTCTCTCTGGGTCTCTATCTGGTCCTTCTCTCTGGGTCTTTTTCTGGGTCTCTCACCCACTTGCTCCCTCTCTCCTGATTCCCTGGGCACCTCTGTGCATCTGGGCATCTCTTCCCCTCACCATCATTTGTTGAGTACCTGCCCTGCTCCACTTTTTTTTTCCCCCCCCCCCCCCCCCCCCCAGAACTGCCATTAACCTGCATCTCCATTACCCTGGGCAGAAAGGGTGACCCATCTCTCTCTCTAGTTCCCTGAATGTTGCTCCACATTGGAGTCTCTTAGGTCTCTCATTTGTTCCCTCACAAACATTCATGGTGGCTTCCTGAGGTCAGACCTCAGCCGAGCACTTGAAGTGTACCCCCTCACTGTGGGGCAGGGCCTGCTATGATCCCCATTCCTAAGATGAGGAAACTGAGACCCACCAAGTAGTCACTTGCCCAATATCACACAGCTCATACGGAGAGCCTGGACACAAAGCCAGTTATGGAAAAAGGTAAAATGCTGAAGTCCGACATGAAAGCCCTTTGCAAAGGGGTGAGCTCATTGAATTCCCAACAGAGAACTAATGTTGTTGCTGTAACTGTTGCTTTGCTTCCATTTTGTTTCAGGCCTAAGTGAAGAGAGCACTGAGCTCCTGACTGTGGCCGGCAGGATCCCTCCTGCCCAGCTGGGGGCTCAGGGGACCACCCTGGGGGACTTACCCGGACTTTGCCAACTTCGCCTTTGTGGATGGAGATGTTGGTGTTGAGGACAGTCACAGTGACACGCCTCACATAGGACACAGCAGGGTTGCCTCGATTCTCATTCTTGGTGGTGATAGTGAAGGGTGTCAGGCCCTGGGAGTTGACCCCTGGGCAGCTGGTTGTCGCCAGCACGTAGTCACAGGTGCCCTGGAAGTCAAAGTTCCAGCCGTCGAAGGAGTGGTAGTGGGGGTCGCCCCACAGCCAGCACGTGGCCTCATAGTTGGGCACGCACACACCATGGCCGTCCTTCTCCTGGCACGTCTCCTGTGGCCGACACGTCACACCATGACACAGTTCTGGGGGCAGGTGAGAGAGGACCTTGAGGGGCTGCCTGACATGAGCCTGGCTGCTCCCCAACATCTACTCCCATCTGACTCTGGGGGCCAGGGGCATGTGGCCAGAGGCATGTGGGACACCCACTGAGCAGTGGGCATTTTCCTGCTCGCCAGCTCCAGCCTGCACAATCTCTTGGCCATCCCGTGGGCTACAGTCACACCTTCCAATGAGACCTCCTCTCAGCCTTGGGGTGGGCCCTCTTCCCATTCCCTCCCTCCCTCGGTGCTCTGCGTTAGCCTTAGGGGCAGGGGCCGTATCTGCTGTGTGTTCCTTAGTGTCCATCCTCATTACAAGGAAAGAATTCCTTCTATCCAACTTTCCCTATTCAAGCTGCTGTGTGGTTTCTGTCTCCTGATTAGATTTTGACCAATATACCCCTCCTCCCTAGGAGTCCCTGTTACCCTGCCCATCAGCCCTGAGGTCTCAGTCTGTTCTGGAGGTTCCATTTCCTTATCCTCAGAAATAAGGCAATTATTCTCTGCCCGTCACCCTAAGAAACCAGTCCCGGGGGTGGCTCTGTGTCTTCGATTTAGTCTGGGAGGTCCCCATGTCTGAGATGGTCTCCCTAAAAGTCCTGATCCTCCACCTAATGGGGCCCTGTATCCAAGACTCAAGCCTTGGTGGGGTCTCTGCTTGAGACCTCAGGACTCTGTCCCTGTCCCCGTGGGGCCAGTCTCTCAAACCCCTTGGGGATGGTGTCTGAAACCCCTAAGACTAATCCCACATATCAGTAGCAGCAAACTGTGGCACCACCAGCTGCCTGTTTTGTAACTAATGTTTTATTAGAGCTACACCTCCTATTAGATAGTCTGTGGCTGATTTCATGCCATGATGGCAGAGTTGAGTTGTTGTGACTGAAACCGTATGGCCTGCGAGTTTAAATATTTACCAGCTGGACCTTTATTTTATACACTGAGTGACCAAATTATTATGACCGGCCAGATTATTATGACCACCCCATTGGTACAATGAAGTAGTTATGTAAATAATAATAATAGTAATAATAATAATAATAATTAATAATAATAATAATAATACCTTGAGAGTATTTGCTTAGGAAGTTTTCAATATTCAGTATTTTTGGAAGTGTCAATGAAGTACTGATGGGGTGGTCATATAGCATCTGGCCACTCAGTGTCTTTTTAAGTCTTTAATTTTTTAATTTCTCACCCAAGGATGTTTTTTAAATTCATTTTAGATTGAGGAGAGAGAGAGAGAGAAGAGAGGAGAGAGGAGAGAGGAAGAAAGGAAGAAAGAAAAAAAGAAAGATCAAAGTGTGAGAGAAACACCATTGGTTGCCTCCTGTAAGTGCCCTGACTGGTCATCGAACCCACAACCTTTTTGGTTTATGGAACTATGTTCAACCAACTGACCAGGCCCTTTAGAGAAAATGTTTGCCTGTCCCTCCCTTACGCTGAGGGTCTCTGACATCTGCCCAGCTCTGAGGGCTCCCACAGCCTGGACTCCACCACGAGGGTCCCTGCCTCCCAGCCTGGGGGGCCTCTGCCCATGGCCCTGGGAATCCCAGCCCAGAGGTCCCCGGTCTGAGACCTCAATCCTTAGTCCTCTGTGCCCGCCACCATAACGATCCAGTTGCCCACCCTCAGCTCCAGAGTCGTTGTGCTCTGTTCCAAGTCACAACGGCCCCGGCCCTAGCCCATCACCTTTGACACAGCTCAGGATGCCGGCCACGGACTGGCACACGTGCCCCGCCTCACAGCTGTAGTTCTGGCACACCAGGCCTTTCCCAGCGTGGCACACACACTGCTGCCGGCAGCTGTCGATGAGTACCGTCTGCTCTGGCTGTGGGGACAGCGGGCACAGTCATCAGTGCGGGCTCTGTGCCCTCTGCCTCCAGCATCTGGTGATCTGGGCACAGAGGGATCCAGAGGACAGGAAAGGGACATCTTTCATCAGGGTGGTCCCTTGTGTGTGAAACTAAGGCACCACATGGCCTTGGGGTTCAATTCATTCATTCACTCACTTTCATTCATTTACTCATTTGTTTATTACAAAATAGCCACTAAATATCCGCTGTCTCGGATAAATGGGATATCAGAGTGAAGAGGAGCAGACCGCCTGAGTCTGAAGCCTGTTTGTGCTCTGCCCCAATCATATCATTCTGTGCAAGTTACTCAACTTCTTTATGCCCCAGTTTCCACATCTGTAAGTTGCAGATAATAGTTACACCTACCTATGAAAGTATAACTGAGTTAGCAATACAGATAAAGCACAGATGAAATGAGAAGGATTTTCTTGAAATCATACAGATTGGAGAGAAAGTGGGTAGAGATGAAACAAGATGGGGAAAATGTCGATTTTTTTTTTAAAGCTGAGTGATGGGTATGTGAAGATTTATTACAGTTCTCTTTTGCATATTTGAAAATTTTCATAATGAAAAATTTATATATCATAGTATAGTATAATACACATACAGCACTTAACACAGTAACCGGTACATAGTAAGCACCATCTGCCTATGTGCTATTGTTAGAATTCATATGAGGAGAACTTCAGGGAGGGCCCTGTCCTCATGGTGCTCACAGTTCTTTGAGGGAGACAGACTTTACCAGGGGTTCTCAACCTGTGGGTCGCGATCCCTTTGGCGGTCGAACGACCCTTTCACAGGGGTCGCCTAAGACCATCCTGCATATCAGATATTTACATTTCGATTCATAACAGTAGCAACATTACAGTTATGAAGTAGCAAAGAAAATAATTTTATGGTTGGATCACAACATGAGGAACTGTATTTAAAGGGCCAGAAGGTTGAGAACCACTGCTTTAGACAAACACATTCAAGTCAAAAGAACAGGAGTAGCTGTGAGAGTGGGAGAGGGCAGCAGAGGGAGTTAGCCACTGGTGTAACAGAGACAAAATCTAGACCCGGATACAAAGCCAAAACTTGACCTGAGAAGCCAGGTCATATTTACAAAAGTCTTTCCCACCCCCATGGAGACATTGATCACAGGAAGCAAAAGTGAGAACTGGGAGGAGCCAGGTAGGAGGGGACACACTGGATCGCAGTGGGGCCATGGGTTGTGGAAGGGGGATGGGTGGGAGGGACAGGAAGGATGCCAAGTGGACAGGCTGAGAGGTTGATAGGCAGTGGGAAGGGCAGGTCCAGGATGAGGCCCCAGATCTGCTCAGGATGACCGGTTCCTACCTCATAGTAGACACCATTGTGGTAGCAACCACATTTCTCGATGGGCACGCAGGCTTGGCCGTCACTGAGGAAGTCAGGGTCACACTGGCAGCCCTCCGCACAGTTATCCGGGCACTGGGGGGCGGCACTGAGTGCTGAGCAGGTCAGGGAGCAGGTGTCTGCGCAGAGCTCATAGTGACTGTTGGAGGGGCACTTCATCGCTGTAAAGAGTGGGTGTGGTTCAGAGCCCCTGGGAAGGAGGGTGCAGGGCCCAAGGTCTTCCCCTTTTGTGCCTCAACCCCGCCCCCCCCTCTATCCTTTGGTCTCTGCCTTCTCTGCCCCTTACTCACGACAGAAAGATTCATTCCTCCAGGGTTTGACGTTGCCTCCAAGCGCCTGGCAAGCACTCACATAAGCATGAATGTTACTGCAGAGAATGTCTTGGCTTCCGTCACCCACGCAGAGGTCAAAGACACAGTCATGCAAGGGACCCTGGGGATCAAGCAGCTTGTGGCAGGCGGCCCCGCGGC